AAAAAAAAAAAAAAAAAAAAAAAAGATAAACAGGGCAGCAAAACATTCTGTTTTCTGAATGCTTCTGAGACTCGCTCCATCCTTGTGCTTGAGGAGGCTGGGACAGCTTCAGTCGCTCCTGAGTAGGCCGCCCTTCCTCCTCAGGCCACGCCACTCACGTTTTAAGTACATCTGAACTTCCAGGGAGAAAATCCTGGAGGTCATTCCTGGTGCCCTGGCCCAGCTGCCAACTTCACCTAGCGCCAGGGTCACTGAGACCCTGCCATGGGTCACACGACGGTTTGTCACGTCAGGTGCCAAGACCAAGGGTCTCTCAGTGCTTTCCCCTCAGAGCCCAAGAGCCTCGCTAGAAACCCCTAAAGGGAGCCCACCCTCCCCGTGATTCGGTACTTGAGCGGCTGAAGAGCGCGCATGCGCCCACGATTCGATTCCAGCGCTCAGTTTTGGAAAATGAACGAATGGAACCTCTTACTTTGCTACTTACCACGTCAGCATTCTAGTGAATTCCCACAGGCCTCCTTCTCCTCCCTTGCCGTCTATGCCATTGTCTGCCAAGTGCAACTTCACTAACCAAGGACCGGCTTCAGCCAAACGCTTTTTATTCTTGATTTCTGCAAGAAAAGGCAGAATATTTTGTTATTTTTAGACAATAGATTTTCTGTTTATTATCGGGTGGGTAAACTGATTTTTTAAAATTTGCATTTCTTGGGCTTGGGTCAGGAGAGTTGTTTTATAATGCAGTCAAGAGACTACTGTATGTGTGATCTTTTAATTGTAAAAACAAAAAACTAACAAAACATGAACAGTGAAGACAAAATCAAAACAATGCAAAACAAACTGGTAGGAGTTAACACTGCTCGCTGCATTACACACTGTTCTCTTCAGCGAAGTTGCTCATTCTGCCACAGGTAAGAATGTAAGATTGATCTGCAAACAGAAGAGCTAGTCCTGCCTTTTCCCGGGGTCCTGTCCCGTGGAGTATTGCTTTCCATCCTTTGACTTTCAGTCTATGAGTTTCCCTTTGAGTTTAATGTATTTTTTTAATACATGATCTTTAAAGTCCTGGCTTGATGCTCAGCTCCTCCATCATCCTGTACAATAGGAAGTCCCAAACTGCTTTATATAAAAGGAAACTCCGCCTCAGATTTAGGCACCTTTAGTCTAATTAGAGAAGAAAATTGACACCTTGAGAAGCTCCTTGGTAGAAGATGAACGAGTTGTCAGTTGATCTGGGGACATGATAGCCCTTATAAAGGAATGTGGCTCTTATAATTTTTTTTTTTTTATTTTAAAGAGTAAAAGAAGGATAGCATAGTAATGGGGGGTGCTTACCAAATCACAGACAAAGTGGTAGGAAATTATCAATGGTTATTGTTTAACATATTGTTATCTACAAGGTAGTTTCTCAGGAAAACAAGTAGGCAAATAATAGTGAGTTACAGACAAAAGAGGTAGGAGATTATCAATAGCTGTTGTACTATACTGTGG